GTCCCTGCATAAGCCCCAGGTTTCAAACAGCCAACTCATGCACTGAGCACAGGACCAGGTCCCACTGCCTGGATGCCTCCCAAACAGATCAAGCCAATCAACTGTCTCACCTATTCAGAGGGCCTGATCCAGTTGGGGGCTCCTCAGCCATTGGTTCATAGTTCATGTGTTTCCATTAGTTTTGCTATTTGTCCCTGTGCTTTTTCCAACCTTGGTCTCAACAATTCTCGCTCATACAAACCCTCCATTCTTGACAACATTCTGCCTTGTGGACACGCAGCTCCTTTCTGTTCTGAGATGGGATCAGCAGAGGTTGGAGAACATTTGCCACACTGGCCAGGGCCTCTGGACCATGAGTGCTCAAACCCCAAATATGCTAGTCCTGCCAATGCAGCTCCACTTACACCTGCTCTGTTTTTACATCTGTTCTTCCTAATCACAGCATTATACCACTTCCTCTCTCCCCAAATACCCAACCCTTGTCTCCCCCTGCCTTTTTTTTCTGAATCGATGAAGCTGCACCTTATTTAATGGAAAAAAAAGAAATTGCAGTTCTTGATTCCTGGTTTTTCTGTGTCCAAGTCTTCTGCTTTCTTCTGTGGCAGGGGAGTGAACTACCTCAAGTCCCCGACTTGGTCATAGATTCTCAGTCTCACTAACCTAGCACAACGATGTAGCAGGAATCTTAAAAGGTCTTATTAATAAAATCAAACCCGGAGCCAGGTATTGGGTTAAAGCTGGAAGATCAGAGAAGCAGGACAAGCCACAACTTCCTCACCTCGCCAATTCCTCAGCTGATCCTGTTTCCTCAGACTAGATGCCTCTCAGCTGAACTGCTGCTCAAAAGCCTAACAACTTAACCAGGCTCTAGTTCCTGGTCCTCACACCTTGAATACCTTTCTGCTTCCTGCCATCACTTCCTGGGATTAAAGGCTCTTGTTACCATGCCTGGCTGTTTCCAGTGTGGCCTTGAACTCACAGAGATCCAGATGGATCTCTGCCTTTGGAATGCTGGGATTAAAGGCGTGTGCTACCACTGTCTAACCTCTATGTTTAATATTATGGCTGTTCTGTTCTGTGACCCCAGATAAGTTTATTAGAGTGCACAATATTTTGGAGAACACAATATCACCACACAATATTAACTTCTTTTGTTCATTTCATAATTCCCTCTCCAGACCTTTCTCATCTGCATACATGCACGATGTTATTTCAGATATCATTGAGAGGGATCTCTGACAGCATAGCTTGAGCAGAGGAAATCTTTTGTGTCCCCACAGTCTGACACTGTTCATTTACCTAGAGGCATCAGTTCATCAGCCTGAGTATATCTTCATCAGATACCAGGAGGGACCAGCAGGAGTTACAACCAACACTAGATAGAACCGCAGAGCAACGGTCTGTCACTTAAATTGTTATTGGACTTCAAACTAGTTCAGTAACACAAGGGACTGCCCTGTAAAGTACAAGAACTGCATAGGGCACACAGTGTCCTAACTAATAGCCCAATCACACAGGACACATGTTATAAAATACCATTCATACTCCAAACCATAATAACCACAGCCTGAGTATTGAAAGTCAATGGATACTTGCCTGAGGTAACACAGGTGGTAGAATTACCTGGGAAGAAATTAAAGCAATCACCATAAAAATGATTTCATAAGTAATTGCAAATTCTTTGGTAATAAGTACATAGAAAATAATAATAATAAACACAGATATAGCATCGTCATGAAAATTATAGTACTGACAGAAGAATTCACTGAAATAAAATAGTAAAACCTTGTGGCAGGGCCGAGATGACAGATGACAGAATTACAGACTATGGTAGCAGATCTATTGAATTGGCCTGTTCTGAACAAGCGAGAGGAAATAGATTGAAAAAAAAAAAAACGATACAGGGTTGGGAGACGCTGCTCCGAGGTTAAGAGCACTTGCTGCTCTTGCAGGGGACCTGGGCTCAGTTCTCACATCAGGCTGCTCACAGCCACCTGTGCCTCAAGTTTCAGGGGAACCAATGCCCTCTTCTGGCTTCTGTGTGTACCTACATCTATGTGTTGCACAGACATGCACTCAAGCACACACACATACATATGATACAGCTTCAGTGACCTGTGGGTAAATAAGAAAAGATCTGAAATTCTTATCAAGTTCCAAGAAGAAAGGGTAATAAGAGTGACAGCTGAAAACTTACTGAACAGCTAGAAACTGAGGAAAGCCAGGTGGGATAACCCCCAGGCATTTTACACAAAGGCACGTCGTAGGTAAACATCTAGAAATCAGCATCAAGGAAGGAATCTTTCTCAATGAAAATTGTTACTTTCATTTTATGTGTGTGAGTGTTTGCCCATATATATATATGTGCACCACATGTGTGCCTAGTGCCCACAGAGGCCAGAAGAAGGTGCTGGAACTTCTGAGCTGTCATGTAGAGGCTGGGAACTGAACCCTGCTCCTCTGTAAGAGCTGCAAGTATTCTTAACTGGTGAGGCATCTCATCGGCTCTGAAAGAAGAAATCTGAAAGGCAGGCAGAGATAAGTATCAAACAGCCATTAGGGGAACAATCATTAGCATGGCAAAGGATTTTTCATCTAAAAAAAAATGAAAGCAAAGGGAAGCATCAAAAGTAAATGACTGTTGGCCATACAGCTAGTGAAACTGTGTCCAACAGAAGTTCCCGTAAGGTAAGAGTGAATGATGTTCTTCACACAGAGGAAGTGACAAGAGAGAGTCATAGAACATCAGGAGGGAGGAAAGAAAAAACAGAAAATATGAGTGGAAGTGGTAGGTTATCCTAACTAGTTTTGATAATAATTAATAAAACAAAAATGCCATCAATACTCCAACACTTGTGTCTGACTTGACATACACTTGTTGTAGAAATCAGGGAATAATTTAGACTTTCTAGCTCCTACTGGATCAGAAAAGCTATTAAATATGAGTCTGAGGCACATGGCAGCAATCAGAAAAAGTACTTCCTGTTGTAGGGGCAAGAGTTTGCATCCTCCACACTGGGGGAAGAATTAAGTACAAAGGATGTCTCAGAAACATGCTATTTCCATTATCCTGGGGGAAAACAAGTCATGTGCAGTATGTTTATGTGACACAGTAGTGGAAGGAGAATGTGTTAGGTTAGTAGATTTTCATTACAGACCACAGTAACACGTCAATTATTTCTTCAGCTTAAAGATGGAGCCCAAGACTAAAGGATTAAAACAGCAGCAGCAGCAGCATAAGAAACTTCTGGCTGCGATGCTTTCCCAGGATTCCTTCGAGTCCATCCACAGCCCCACACCATCTGTAATAGAGGAAGACATCGACAATGAAGACGATGCAATGGAGTTGCTGGGTAATTTTACAAATTAATAATTTCTCTTTCTCCTCTTTTCTGGCATTGTAAAAGTGTGCAGGAACCGAGGGTTTTAAACATTCTCAATAGTTTTGTCTAAGGCAAAGGGAGCCCTTTAACATCCACTTTCCTTCCCTTGGACCTTTATGAAGTTGCATGTAAGAACTAAGCTGAACCCATGGAAGCATGTGAAACACTCCCTAGACTGTACTATGTGCTTTGTGTATGCAGCACTCTATACTCTGACTTCACCGAGCTTTATTCTGTGTGCAGTTGTGATAAAATGCAAATCTGTCTGTTTTATTTTCTTGATTACACCTATTCTCTATAAAATACACCCTCTTCCTAACAAGACCCTGTGAATGTAAGGTTGCTTTAGAGAAATATCATAAAACTGAAAGATGTCAATAGTAAAGTAGTGTTTGATGCTTTTCATACATGATAGGAAGCTTTGCATAGATTTCAAAATCTTCTGAGACTCATCACCTTCCCAAAACCTCATTCATGTTGTAGATATTGTTTTCTTTATATATTTTTTTTGTGATTCAAGTATGTGATCCTATTCCAATAGAAGTTTACATATATAAATTCTTAATTGAAACTCATTTTGAAAAATCATTTTTTTTGAGGCAAGGTTTCTCTGTGTAGTCCTGGCTGTCTTGGAACTATCTCTGTGGACTAGGCTGGCCTGGAACTTAAAGATCTACCTGCCTCTGCCTCTAGAGTGCTGGAATTAAAGGCATGAGCCACCATGCCTGGCTGGAAAATCCTTTTTACAAAAGAAGAACATGAAGTTTGCTTTGCAAGTAATTCAAATGTAAAAATGGTGTGTTTTTAATTGATTGGTACTAGCTATTCTATTATACAGAATTAATTAAAGCAATTTGTATATGCTTCCATAACAACATACCATTATATTTAAACTGAAAGGAGAATAATGTGATTACATACAGAATATGTGTGCACAGAAAAGGTACTTTATTTGAATTTTTAGACCATATTTCTAGGAATTAAGTATTGATGGCAGTAAATTATTTTCTATAATAAATTGTAGGTCTCCATGCAAACAGCTGCAAAGGTGTTGTTCAGTAGATGGTGGCAGGGTTGAAGATCTTTTTTAACAGCCTGCTAGCTACCTTGAATCTAAAATTAAGGAAACTATGACCCTTTTCATTAGATGACATTGGGCTTTGTTTTCGTTTAAGCAATCAAGTCTTATTTCCCCACTTACAAATCATGAATGTGGAAGAGCTTCTAGATGTTACCATGGCACTTTCATCCATCTTCCACTCACTACACAGGACTTTGATCTAAGGTCATAAAACAAAATCTTTTCTGTTTGTAGGAATTTTGCAGTCAGTTGAAAAATGTAAACTCATCACGTCCACCTTGTTCTTTGCCCGTGTTATCACAGTTGTGCATAGTGGTGACTCCCAGTGCAGAAGTGGGGGCAGGGATCATGGCAAGCCTGTTTTAAAAAAGCTGGTTCTTCTGCTGAGTCCTGGGGACAAGGAGGTGTAAACTTGAGAAGTGGAGCTGGAGCCCCCTGGGGGCTGGTTCACATAGGTATTTTGTGTTTGGTGACTGTGCCTGTAAATGGCTCCCCTGCTGGTCAGTGACAGTGAAAGAGATGATCAAGGGACTCTTCCAAGGCTCATGTGTCTGCTTCATGCTGATTGTCTCTAGAACTCCCCTGTTCTCTTCAGAAATTTCTAGCTTTCTAAGCTGAAGACCAGAGGGTTGGTTTGGGAAGTCTCCCTCCTATTAAGCCTTTAACAACTGGCTGTTATTAATTCATCTTCTCACTTTAGATATTTAGCTTGCGTTCTGACCAGGTTTAATGGTAAAGAATAGTGGAAGCTTTCACTGTGTGATCTCACACAGCTCAGGCCTGTTGGCTGATGGTGACACTGATCTCTAAATATGTAAGCTCCTTGTGACAGAATGCAATGTTCAAGCACACAGCACTAGCCTTCAATACTGCCATGTGCAATTTCTCTGGTTTGGGAAATGATTCCAGAGAAAAATGTGATTGTATACATCTGAAGAAAACACAATGTTAATGCCTTGAAAATTCATGTGAAATCAAGACTTAGTGCATAGAATCATTGTTAAGGTGTAACAGATACTGTGTTTAAAATGTCTTGTGGGAATCTAAAATATGTGATAGAATGAGTTTACTGTAATATGCTTTTAAGGGTTTAATTTATCATTATTTATGCTATGATAAAATTAGCTGAAAATGTATCTATCATGCATGGGAAGTTATCTGTAATTGTGAATTGTTAAGTAAAATATATGGTTTTTAGCCAATATTAATATAAAAAATGAATTATCCATCAATGAAATTGGTTGGCTTAAGGAGGAAATCTTTTAGTGAAAGTAGTAGATATAAATAAAACTAATTCTTGTTGTCTTTATTGAAATGTAGTGTTGTTAATATATGCTGATTACATATTCACAGTTGCTTAATTGTATGTCTGTGAATTTATTTTGTAAATATATTTGGCATGTGAAAATATATGTTAGGATCAATTTTTATGTTAATTTTCTATGAGACTACTTTAAACCCTACTTATAATTTTATAGTGTAGAAATGAATCCTTATGAAGTAAATATTATCTACTAGAGAATGAAGTACCGGAACTTGGAGTTTTAAAGAGACACCAATTTTAACTATCTCTGAAAGTGGTTCTAGATATACAAAATGTCGATTAAAAATACCTTTCAACTTACCTCAAATGATAAAGTTTTCAATCACAAATGTAAGAGATTCTCAATTATTTTTGGTGGTTATATTGGCACATAATAATCAAAGTCAATAGAAACTCTTTATGAATACATCACATTTCCTAAACATATGGTAAAATCAAGAGTTTCTCAAAAATGATGGGAGACCAGATACGTTTCCCAGAGCTTCTGTGGATTGTCTTCTTTCATCCTCAAGGGGAACTTAAGGAACTGTTGAAGGACATTTAGCTGTGTGAACATTAGCCCATTCCCCCTGCATTACATATCTTTATCATCATGTTATAACTGTAACAGTAACGTTTGTTTGAATGTTCTCTACATAGTTTGTACTGATTTTGTACCCATTAAAAACAAAACAAACCGAGAATTAAAAGGCGCAACCACTTTTTTACACACTTTAGTTTGGACTACTACTTATAATGTATTTTAGGCTTTCTTAGGTTTGGTGCTGAAGGAGCTATCTAAAAATCATATTCTAGAGATGCTAAAGCCATTAATCACACTTAGTTATATTTTCTAGCCTTAGCTGAAGATTATACAAATTTAAAATTAAATCCAATTCTACATTGTCTTAAATGAACAAGGTTGTCATAAGCATATTTTACTTGTTTTAAGATAAATAATCAAGTATAACTAAAATGGCATTCCTTGCTGAATGCAGTTTCTAGGGACCCAATATCTTACCAAATAAATTAACTCATTAGTAAAAAATAAAATGAATTTACTGGAGGGACTCATTAAGGTGCAATGCTCTTTCAGCTTATGCTTTTGCATTTTGTGATAAGTTTTTTGAAAGATAAACATCCACTGTCATGTGTTTGGTTAAATTGGAGGCTTTTTTCCACCAGAAATGTCCTATGTTTACAAAGTAAGAATGGGTATTGCATCTGATGAGAAATGGATGCTGTCACTGTAGTGTGAGAATTAGAAGAAAGAGATCCTAAATGTCTTATAAATTTCTTACCTACAAACCTGTACTTTAATGACTTAATATCTGCAAACTAGTCAGAAACGGAAGGGACCATCAACACAAGCCTCTCTGATTTTGTTTCCGTATAGAACTGATTATTTGACACATCAGAACAGCAGCTAACTTGTCACTTTAAAATAAACCAGTATTTTCATGAAAATGATTCTTTATAAAAATTCTGAGGACTTTCAAACATTAAACCACTGGGTGTTTCAATATTACCTAGAAGATTGCTTAAAATATTAGTTCATTCAATATAGTATCCAAAAGCAAACTAATGTAAATTAGTGACCATTATAGATAAAATATCCAAATAGCAAGTATTTTAAGATATAATACTTTAAAACACTCAGAAGTTAAATGTATAATAAAACTTTCTTAATCCAAGTAGGTTTTATCTTCACCTATATGATAGTCTAAAAAATTCCATTTATTATTCTGCAGCTGATCACCACAATTAACCAAACCTTATAGAGAACCTGCAGATAGATTTTTACAAGTTCACTAACTCAGTCAGTGCAACTGGAGACCTAAGACATCCTGAAGTTGTGTAAGATATCTGTCACATGCCAAATAGAAGCTCTGAATGCCTCTGCTCCCGTGCTGGCATCTGTGCTTCTGAACTGGAACTTCTTCGAATGGCTTCCATGTCATCATTGTCCATGCAAATGCCATGCAAGCAGTCACTGTGTGGTCCAAGGACTTGAATCCCATGCTTAACTCTTTCAGTTATAATGCCATTTTAGGACATATATTCCAGCAATGCTTTCATATGGCAAACTGTGCAGCTGCACAGTTTGAGGAACATCACATCTTATATTTAACTTTAAAAAGCTACTTGATCTTGAGTTTAGAGATAAGGGTGGATATTGTGGGAAATCCATCTGGTCATGTTCCGTCTCTAAAGCCATTCATCCAGTTTTAACAGGTTTAGTTCTTAAGGGTGTCTCTATCACTTACAGAGTGAGTTGAATGCTTGTAATACTTCAAATTTGAACAAATATACGAGCCTGGACTGGGGGTGCCTATTTTCCTTTCTTTCTTTCTTTCTTCCTTTCTTTCTTTCTTTCTTTCTTTCTTTCTTTCTTTCTTTCTTTCTTTCTTTCTTTCTTTCTTTCTTTCTT